GGTGGAATCGGAGGTGTTTTGATCCTGCCAGACTTCGGACCAGTGTCAGTTTTCAGCGAGCAGATGGAACTCAAGCAAGCGATGGCACTTGCGCGTGAGGGAAGCAAGAACCCAATCTACGAGCTTGAGTGTTTTGCCATGTTCTGCGGTTTGAAACTTTGGATTCCGACTCTTGAGTCATGCCATGTCATCGTGTTCACTGACAACAATGGGTCCCTTGCTTCGATGATATCTGGGAAATCAGTTAACCCATCGGGGCAGAGACTGGTCGACAACACGTTGGCAATCTTGGACGCAGGGAACGTGGTGTGCTGGTTCGAAAGGGTGAACACCGCTTCGAACATAGCTGACAAGCCGTCCCGGGGCGACGACGACCTCAAGGGCCTTGGTGAGAGAATGCACCTGGACATCAGTAATCTCATTTCGGAAGCCACTATGCCAATTTTGCAGGGGGGAGAAGGGGCAAGTGGCATGAGCCACGTGGCATGAGCCACACGGACCAAGCTTGAGCTTGGGTTTTGTCTTTCCTTTTTTTCCGTGTGGAATGACAAAAGCCCTTTCAACTAACGTGCGGGGACGCACCGTGATTCCCCACTGCATCAGCGTTGGAAAAGGCCGAGTGGTTTGCCGTTTGAGTCGTCAAACTGTTTGATCCATTCAGACATGTGATGCATGTGATGGGCATCGCCCGTTTCGCTGACCGCTTAAATGCGTTTGTCCGTGATTCCATTTGGCCGTTCTGGCCATTTTCAAAATGACGTTTGAGTTTGGCTCGAGCCGTTTTAAATGACGTTTGACTTTGGCTCAAACCGGGATGGTGTTCCCATCCCCCCCCCGCTTCGAGACCTTCCTTTAGGAGGGTGCGACAAGTGGCGTTTGAAACGTGGGTTTGTGGGAAGAGAATGTGTGCTGCATTCCTTCCCACGTAAGGATGCCGAACCTGAAATAAGCTAGGACTCTTCCGTAGGAAGATGACGTTTTATTTCCTGTTCGCATCCCATGTTTCCCACGTTGACGTGTTTCCTCCTTTGGCTGATTCGGTTGAAACCAGCAAGTGGCCCGTTTTGTAGGCACATGAGTGAACGGACACTTATTTCTTGTCAACCGTGCGCATGGCATGCTTGAATGAAATCGATGAGAATTTCTGAATAGCAGCCATGTGGCTGGGAGGGCGGTGGGAAAGACACTTGCCAAAAGAGCAGTGTCACATTTTGTTTTCGTCCCACCCAACCCACCCTGGAGAAGAAGGGGCAAGTGGCATGAGCCACGTGGCATGAGCCACACGGACCAAGCATGAGCTTGGGTTTTGTCTTTCCTTTTTTTCCGTGTGGAATGACAAAAGCCCTTTCAACTAACGTGCGGGGACGCACCGTGATTCCCCACTGCATCAGCGTTGGAAAAGGCCGAGTGGTTTGCCGTTTGAGTCGTCAAACTGTTTGATCCATTCAGACATGTGATGCATGTGATGGGCATCGCCCGTTTCGCTGACCGCTTAAATGCGTTTGTCCGTGATTCCTTTTGGCCGTTCTGGCCATTTTCAAAATGACGTTTGAGTTTGGCTCGAGCCGTTTTAAATGACGTTTGACTTTGGCTCAAACCGGGATGGTGTTCCCATCCCCCCCCCGCTTCGAGACCTTCCTTTAGGAGGGTGCGACAAGTGGCGTTTGAAACGTGGGTTTGTGGGAAGAGAATGTGTGCTGCATTCCTTCCCACGTAAGGATGCCGAACCTGAAATAAGAAACTAAGGCGGCCAGCCTGAGCAGACTCAACAAAGAGCTGCGGTCGCACTGCGTTGCAGTCGGGTCGCCCGCGCCGCCGCTGCTGCGATACGAAAACTTCGCGCCACGGTCCGGCGAGTGCCCGAAGTTGCGCCACATGAAAGGTGCCGCAACACGCCGCTTGGCGCCAGCTGTGCAAGCCCTTGCTGCCGCATATGGGCGCGGAAGCGCGCATCGCAAAAGGAGGGCTCGCGTGGCCGCCTTGCTGCGCGCAATCTATGACTCGACGTCCTGCCGAGACCTTGTCATGCCAGCAGCCAAGCACGCGGAGTTTGCCCGCGTGCTGACGGAGTTCCTGGAAGGGTATGCCAAGCTAGCCACCTCCTGCAGGGGTAACGGATGGCACGTCGTCTTCAAGTTTCACATGCTCAGGCACTTAGACGAACAGTCTAAGCACTTGAGCCCGCGGTTTGTGTGGACATACCCAGGAGAAACTTTTATGTCGTTCATGTGCCAAATCGCCAGCTCTTGCTCGCGGGGCACGCCTGGCCGACTGCTTGGCGTCAAAGTGCTGCAGAAGTACCGGGTCGCCCAGCATCTCATGCTATCGCAGCAGATCCCTACGCGCTCACGGTTTCCAGTCGATGAACTCGACGAACTCGAAGATTGACCGCTGCTGGGCCTTGAGCCGCTCAGCTTGAGCCTGAAATGGCTGCGACAGCGTGTGGAAAAAAACGCGACAACAGCTCTTATATTTTTAATATTTATATATATATATATATGTCTTGCGTTTTATATATATATATATATAGATATACAGATATATCGTAAATATTATATATATATATATGTATAAATAGATGCATGTGCTTGCGAGTGTGCATGGTCTCACTGCACGTGCACATGCGCCCCCATCATGGCCCGGACCGCGATTGACTTTCATTTTTGACATGCTTGCCCGCGATCGATTTTGACAATTTTGCGACACCACTCTGGGATTGAATTTCACCAAGTGAGCCGACAATGGGCCGCGATTGACTTTTGGGATTTTGCCTTGTTTTTGGTGCGTTTTTTACCTGCGATTGAATTTGGTTGCCGCGATTGATTTTTTTCAATCTCGGATGCTTTGGGTAATTAGAGAGAACTGGGGCTCGCAATCAAGCCTGCTGCCCAAACTATGTTTTTAAGCTTTAAAACTGCACTTTGCGTGCTCCACTTGTTGCTACTTTTCCATGCTCTCCAAGGCGAGGCCCTCCCCGCAGCCTGAAGCATTGACGTTTCCCAAAGCCACGACTCCCGGACCCTTCAGGCCGCGTCACAGACAATTTCCTTTTTTCCGAGAACCAGTCCACGGCAGATTCCCTTTTCTGCGCCCCTCCCACAAGCCCTCCCGCCTGAAGCGCCTCATTGCAGGGCCCTTGCTTCACGGCCTGCGGGCCTTTATCAAAAGGGCTCCTGTGACCTGTCGACAAGTGGTGGTGCATGCAAAGAGGTGTGCAATGGCAACAGGTCATTTGTTCTAAATGTATGTGCGTTGCTGCCAACGGGCCCCTGGGCTGCGCATTCAAACGCTCATGCGAAGATGAGGTGCCAGCCTGGTGCGTAGTAAGACAATAACGCGGTGGCTAAGGGTCCGGGAGTCGTGGCTTTAGGAAACGTGAAAGAGGCGTAGAAAGGTCATAGAAAAACGATTTGGGGCCTTAAAGCAAGCCTGAGCCCGCCCGCTCGCGTGCGGACCTGAACACGCTTCGACGCATCGAAAATTGCATTGAGTGACCCAGCCCGGTCCCTAGTGACCTCCCATTCGACTTCGGAAGTTGTTTGGGACACGCGTTGTCAGCTTCGCTGTCAGCTTCGCTGCATCAAAAAAGGTGTGTTTGCCTTTATGATCGTCTGGCTTTCCTGTCTGGTTCCCATATTTTGGCTTGCAGCGAACAGGGTGACCCTTTTCTTTGTTTAGCAAGTTGCAAAAATTATAGTCTTTAATTGCGTGTTTTTGATCAGACTTCAATGGTTTGCCGGGCTTCTTGCGTTCCGTGCCATCTGCAGCAGTGCTCATGCGTTCCGTCATCTGCTCATGTAACGGACTGCGCGTGTTTTTCCCTTGTGCCAGTGGGACGTAGTCTCACAACACGCTGTATTCGTTTTTGCACCACTTGGCTGCGAAAACAAAGATGAGTACGCGTGCAAAAACAAAATCCAAGACAGTCTGACCTGGTGCTGGGACAGCCTGCTCAGATCGGGCCGCGTGAAGCGTAAGCTGCCTGCAGCATCCATCGAAGCCGCGCGCAAGCAGGCGAGTGCGGCTTGCTTTATGTCACCATCCTGTCTTTTTCTTCACCTGCGGTTGATCTCGCAGTTGCCCATCCTACAATAGGACACGCAGCTCCAGTGTTCCTTGTGCGGACTGATGCACTTAGTCGCGCGCTTACACTTATCGCACCTCCTGGTCGCTGGTAGCCGCTTTGCAAACTGTTCCACAAAGAGCAGCGTGATGCAAAAAGCAAGCTCTCGTAGCGTCATCTATGCGTGTTAACTTGAAAGCAAAACCGTCCACACAACTATGATCCCGCTTTTCGCGGAAAACTCTGCGCAGAAACGCCAACCGCATACAGCGTCCTGGCGCGTCAGGAGGAGCAAGATGGAAGCTCTTGCAGGTGCAATGCCGTGGTTTTTTGCGACCTTGACTCCCGAGCTGAACTGAAGTATTTTCGGCCTACGGTGCTATTTCACCATAGTGTGTGTGTGTGTGTCTGATGGTGCATGTACATGTGATTTCTTGAAACGTCTTCAGTGCGCATGTGTGTGGTATGCGTGTTCACGCTTGCAACTAGAGGACAGCTTTGTGTTTTCAATCAAACAACTATGTGGGTGTGTAGAAATGCATTTACATTGCAAACTGGGGATATCAGTTGTGAAGCAATCCAACAAAATGGGTTCATTGTGAGCCACAGCTTGTGGCGCTCTAGATTCGTGTTTGTTGTGACTGCTTTCTGGGCTGCAGTGAGCCGGCTGGACAACAGATCCCCATGCGACTCATTGTTACCCTTACCACTCATATTTAGCAGTTTTGTCAAAAATACCAACAGTCTCCGAAACAGGTGGAATGTACATGTTTGGCATATTTTTTGGTTCCTAGCTTCGCAATGGAACCCCAAGGCCAAACTTTCGCTTCCCCGCGACTCACTCCTCATTCCAGACGAACTTGTCCCGGAGGTGTGTCCTCCCTGAATTCGCTGGGAATGTTGAATGGAATCCCAGCTACAAGCCACAAATGCATTGACCTTGGATGATACGCCATCGTAGCCATGGATGCCCATGCGCCTCAATTGGCTGAGGCCATGGCAGGGATGCCACCATGAACCGACCTGTGTTACTATTTTACCATTCTCGAAGTTGCCCCCGGAGTGATGGGGTAAAGGGGATTGTGATGCATCCCAAGATCCAAGAACAGTCAAAACATTGATGTGCCTGATATCACCAAGCATGGCATGCGGGACATGCAGGCTGCGCCACGGATGCCAGGTGTGCATGCGGCAGGCTGTGCGGCTGGAGCAGCTCCATGCGGAACTTGACAAGGCGATGGCTGTGCTTCGGCTCGATGATTTGCCGTTTGGGCAAGACATGGCCGTGGGTCAAAACCAACGGGATCTCATTTTGGGGTAGTTTTAGAGCCTATTTTTGTTGGGATTGGGAGTTGAATTCGGGCGCAGCGCCTCCCATTTCAGATGCTTGTCGCTTTCATTGTGGGCAATGTACGCATGTGTATTGTTCTGAGGGAACCCCGTTTTGGGTTCCTGAAAGGCAACTGAGAGGAAGCCACTCTTTCGGTAGTTTTTGCATAGTTGGTGAAAATCCGGCATTTCTCGTTGCTGGGCAATGCACGCGACAACGCGGCATGCCGCGCCAAACGGGTGTTTTTTCAAACTCAGTAAAGCTGATGGGCTTCCGCGGTTTCCTCTTGCATCCAAAAAAATGATCCAGGGAACTTCCATCCAGAGCCTTCAGGCCCGCAGGAGTGAGAGTGCAGCACTGGAGGCGGGGGTTGGGAATGCCCTTTGAACAAAAAGCTGCTCAGCGGCGAGCACAGGGAACAGTGAAGCACACCTTGAAGGCCAGTACTGCGGTTTGCCCAGTCCATGGTGGAATCCCTGTGAGAGCTCCACGATGTCGGCATGTTCAGCACCATGGGAGCATGTTCCAAGTCTCAGTTTATTTCTAGCCGCATAACTGAACCTCAATATTCCTTGTCACCGAAACGAATGGCGACGCCCTCCGAATCTGCCACGTAGGAGCTGGAGAAGCGGCGCGAGGCCCACGAGCCGAGGGCCTCAGTGAGCGCTTGATGTAGGGCACCTGGCATGGTTCTCGGGATTTCCCCGGGCCTCGGAAATCGGTGCGAAGCAAGGAGTATGAGTAATATGACTGGTTTAGAGGGAAGGTGCACACAAACAAGAGATAGAGATATTTCATCTCAGCGTCGGAGTTTTGCAAGAGAATCTGGTGCAAGTTTCGGGGAAGACGTTCTGGGCCCCCTGACTTGTGTCGAGCTGCTTGTGCCCCGAAACTCCTGCTTTTTTTTGGCTTTTCATGTTCATATGCGTTGTGAAGTTCAAGTCAACTCGCGTGCGTGTCACCATCGTGTGATAAACTGACCACTGAGTTCTACCCTGCATTTTATTTGGGGCTGGAATTCTGTAAGGGCTGATTCGATTGCTGACTATTTGTTGAAGGACCCCATCCAGGTGTTTGTTTTCCTCTTTGCTGTGCCTTCCAACCAATGCAAAAATGGGGGAGGGGCCTATTTTGCAGAGGCAGTGAACAAAGAAATCGACTGAGGCAAGAGCGCGCGGAGATGAGGGACAAGGTGGCGCGCATGGCGGTCTTTCAGGAAAGGGGCCAGCACCTCCGGTTTTTCGGGGGGAACCAACGAAGTGGCAATCAATCCATGCCAAGCGGCAATGGGGCTCAGAATTTGATCATGCCGAGAGAAGGTCTGCGAAGGCCCTTCGGAGCTTCGGCACGGAATTTGCAGGAGGCTCTGCAGCGCGAGAACGGGCTGCTGCTGGAGGACTGCGCGGGTGCATTGAAACCAATTGAGTCCCAGACGTGTTTCTCCCACCTTGGGATTTGGACAAATCAGATCAGCGGAAACGAAACAAACATCGGAAGAGGAAAGGTCGTCAGAGCGATGGCTCTCGAATTCACGAGTTGGATTCAAAAAAGGCCCCTGAAGCCCAAAGCCGGCCAGTTCTTGTGAGAACAAGCTAGGTTGAAGGGTGTTTACCCCCCCTTTTAGAAAGATAGAGCAGGCCGGCAACTGCTTTGCTTGAGGAGCTGGTTTCTGTGCTAAGCCGCGCGAAGGCTCGTCTGCCGCTTTCGTGCGCTGTGTCGCATAATATCCTACATTGCGCTTGGCATGTCACATCAGCCAGAACCATTGATCCGTTCAACAAGCAGAATGTGTTGTGCAAGGCACCTTGCCATGGAGAAACGGCCTCACCAGAATAGGTGGAAGTGTAGTGAGAGTGTTTGTTCTCGTCTCGAGTTTCCCTCTGTTGGCTTTCTCGCAGTAGCTTGTGAGTTGGCCCGAGCAAGAGCGTCTGGAAAAGTCAGGCGCTCAAGGCGGAGATGGCTGCTTGGCTTGCAAGATAGTTCAATCGTGGCAGAGATTGATGTTCACTGGGGGTACGGGATTTTGACCCATGGCCATTCGGGATTGCTGTTATAGTTGGCGCAGTGGGCTTTGATAATCAAGGGAAGGCGTTGATGTTAAGGCTAAGCACAAGAGTGAGAAAATACAAGGGATCCTGTCACGTCAAGGGTTGAGGAGTTGGTCAGGCCATGCGGCGTCTCTGGGTTCATGGACACGGGGCCTTAAGTCATCCTCCATGACTTTACATGGGGGGCGGTCAAAATGAGGAGCCCTTTCGGTCTTTCCTTTAAAAGTCGGCAAACGCCGACATCAGGGTTCAACAGGGGCCATACTTCGACCCCACCTTGCCAAATGTATAGGCTTGCACCAGCTTCACGGTGACAGATTTGGCTGGCCTGCCTGGGTCCCTGTGTCGTGACCCAGGCATGGATCCAGCGGTTCTTGCCCATGACAGAGCCAGGCGAGCGTTCAGCTGCGTACACATGCCAGACTATCCTCTTGGAGAGGGCTCTGTGCAGGTCCATGTTTGTTGTGCACTTCCATGTTGTTGGCGGGAGGCTGAAGGGATGCCTTTTGGAAATGATTGACGTGATCAAGGTTATCTTCAGAAATGCCCTGCAGAAAAGGGTCCCATGTCCCGTGGATTGTGGGTCACGGGAGTGCATGGAAGAGCTAAAAGCAAGGGCATCATGTGTCACATCTCAAAATCGGTTCCCAAAAAGAACACTTCGCTTAAAAAATGTGGCCTGGTAGGTTCCATGTCAATCTTCAGGAGTGTCGAGGGAGTTAAGAGGCCCCTTCCGCTTCCCTCAGTTGTGCAGCGCGCACCTAGCCCGCCCAGCGCGCCCGCCGCCCTCGGTACTGGCTGGGTCCCCGGAGTGAGGTTCAATGTCATCTTGGCAGAAAGGTCGCGGACATGTGGGTATTTAGGGTTTCCTTGAACTATCAGCCATTTCTTCCCTACGTGCCAGCCCCCAAGCATTGGGTGGCTGTGAAGGCTGACATAACTTGCTTTGAAGTTTGTTGCTAGTCTTTCGGATGTCTTTGTTGGAGCGAAGACGATGCCTATGAAGCCGAGTTTGGGCGCATCTAGGACGTGCTGGGTTTTTCCCGCGGGTCAGCTGGTTTCACTGGAACAGCCCATTGTCAATAAGAGGCAACAGGCGCTTTTGGACCTTCGGAGACGGCCGTTTTCCACTTTGCTTTGAAAGGCATCCGGCTTTGGCAAAGGCCCAAAAGGCCCAGGTCTCGACTCCCAAGGCTTGCGGGTGCACCCGCCGACCAGGACCTCCCCAGTTCAGGCGGGGAACGGTGGCTCAACCGAATTTGGGGGATCCCTAGTATGGGGTACAGCCTTTCGCGCTGGAAACAGGCATGACTCACATGTGCTTGTTCCGCATGCGTTTTCATCAGGTGGTTTCGCCGGTGCCCACGATGCCGATACCCAAAGTGCCTGCTGCATGGCCAGCGGCCGAGCTGGGTGCAGTCAGCAGCTTCGTGTCCCGCAGATTTGAAACATCCCCGTGTTTCCCACAATCGCCGCGTTCGCAACGTCTGGGGAAGCAGCTACACTATCAGTAGGTCTTACCCTGACCCGACAGCAACTCATGGTCAGCTTTTGTCCCCTGACAGCAAGCAGATAACTCACGGCATGGACGAGTTGCATGCGCCGCGAGGCATTGCGAAGCCAACGCTTCGCGCCCCGTCCGCCGTGCCAGCGAGGCTGGGATCACAGGAAGCCCCGCGAGCGCCAGCGCCGAGAGCTCCATGCAGTAGCTAGCTGCTATAATGTGCATCTATGAAAGCATGTACCTGAGTAGAAGCTAAAGAGACAGGGATGAAAACACATATTATGTCTACATCATCTGTATGCATGTGCACGTTGGTAAGGTGTGCTTGCATTTGCACGTGCACAGCGCCATTCTTTGCGTGTCTCAGGCCGGAAGGACCCATCGGTCCCTCCCCTGGAGGCGGTCATGACAAAGGCAACAAGCCAACCACTTGGTTTCCGGTTTCGAGACAAGTCCCTTTGCGAAAGTCCACATTCCCTCGTAGAATTCGGGGACACGGACGCAACAGCCACATCCCTGCGGACCTTTGCGCCAGGCCCTCGCAGCTATTCTGGTCGCGCAAGGACCGCGACTCTTCCGAGGAAAAACAGAACAGCAACCGCGGGGAAAGGGTGGGTGGGTGCAGGCGCTGAGTGAGCTGTTTGAGGCTGGATGACCACGAGAAACACGGTGAGACACACGGGTTCTTGAGTCGGGGCATCTTTATCCAGAAACCATTTTTTCCCGAGCAGCATGGACTTGTCATGCGAACGGGCGGCTGGCAGAGTGCTCATATGGTCATAGGCGCAGATTTGATATGTGTATATTATAGGTATGCACATGGGACCCTGGAGACATTTAATCATGGGCAATGTCTGAGTGGCACTTTTGCGGAAAGGCTAAACCCAAGACAATCATGCCGTTTTGGTCAACCAAACAAAACATGGCAAGGAGAAGTGAGAGAGGAGTTCACATGCTTTCCGCTGGACACCCTTGGAGCAGATGCATGGGAGGTGTGTCGTGAAGTACCACCCACTACTTGTCTTCAGATATGTTCATGCGCTATGGCTCTTACAGAGCACATTTGTGTGCTGTTCGTTCTAGCTCGCAAAGGCTCGACTTCTGAGGATGTACTCCTTGCTGTTTGTACTCAACTACTGTTTCCAAAACAAAATAGGGGGCGGGCCTCTGATTGCCAGGTTTTTTGGTGGCTTGCCTTGAGCGCTTAAAGCGGCAGAGAAAAAATGCCGCGCTGCGGCACGCCGCACGTCGCCTCATGAGTGGCCCAGCCTAGCCCGAGACGCGTCGGGCGTTCTTGGGTGGGAGCTGGAGGTGAGTGAGGGTTGGGGGCCGAGTGGCACATGGTTGGCCAGGTGGATGTGCGCCAAAAGATCGTGGACCATCTTGGTGGTGCCATTTGAGGGGTCTTGTTGGGGTTTTCTGAGAGCTTGCACTTGCTTCGTTTTGACAAGAGTGAGACTCGGATTTGGAGTTTGAGGACATCGGCCCTCAGACCGATTGCCCTGTGTGCAGGCCTGTTGCGATGCAGGCCGGAGCTGGCAGTGGTGTTTGGCTGTGAAGTTCAATTGGGGTTTCTGTTTCGGTGGCCATTAAAGAACAAAGAAAACAACTTACGGGGATTTGCGTCCTACCAGAACCATCTTGTGTACATTTTGTCTCTTGGCGCTTGAGATGTCAGCCTGAAATTGGATGGAGGCTGAGTGCTGCTGAAGCCCTAGCCGATTGCCTGTGACCCAGCTTCCGCTTCCGACGGAGGCATCTTGCAGTTGTTTCTCGCCCGTTCATCATGGGCCATGGAATCATTGCCTTTCGGTCTCCGCTGGTTCAGATGAAGAATCCTCAAATTTCTGGGGGGGGAGGGGGGTGTTCAGGGAGGAGAATGGGGTTGCCATTTTGATGCATCCTCGCACAACAGGGCCGCCCCTCTTGTCCGAGGCCATGGCACCGGCCGGCGCCCAAGAGAGGAGTGGGGTAAAGGGACCTTGCCGTCGTTTTTCTTGAGAGCGTAGTCTCTTGGTTGAAAGCTTCACTTTTTCAAATGAGTCAGAGTCACAGGGTCTTGTAGCCAGCCTCATCGGCTTGTGTTTTGGTGCAGGCAGAGAGGGGATCCTTCAAACCAGGGGGGTGATTTGAAGTGGATGGGTGGTTTCGCCTGTCAGGCACTGAAATGATCCTGCCCAGGCCTGCGACCATCAGAAGCTTAGCGAGGGATGCTTGTTAATAACTGGGCCAGCGCAAGAGTCGCTTCCTTCAGGTTGTTGGAAGGAGCGTTCTGAGGAACAGCGACCGTGCAATTCGCACGGGTCAAGCGTGCCCGAGGTTGCGGGCCAGCAAATCTGCACAGGGCAGGGGGCCTGAGGAAAGCCTGCGGAGGAGAGGGGATGTGCAGAGGGGTAAACAAAAGGATGGGAAGGGATAAGATGGCATGCGGTGTATGCTATGCAGCCTCTGAGCCAGGCGATGTTTCCTTGGCCCGCAAAACACCAAAAAGGGCCCGGGTGAAATGGGAATGGACTGGACATGGCGCCCCGGCATAATTTTTTCACCATTGACCCCTCCTCTCCTGACACGGTGTAATTTTCCCATCAGTTTCTGTAAGCCATCCATCAGTTTCTGTAAGCCATCCATCAGTTTCTGTAAGCCATAAATAGCCCCTCCAGAAATGGACCCCTCAAATCCGGCTTTTGATGGGCTCCACCGAAACCTCCGCCGTTCAAAGCGCCAAGGCCGCCGAAGAGCGGCGCCCTGGGCGCTTTGACTCCGCGGCTGGTGCCGCGCCCGGGCGCGCCCAAGGTGCGGGGTAGGTCGCGTGGATCAGGTCGCCAACAACGGGTAGGTGGGTGGGGTGGGGTGGGGGTTGGGTGGGTGGGGTGGGTGGGTGGGGTGGGTGGGGTGGGTGGGTGGGGTGGGTGGGGGGGGGGTGTGGGTGGGGGGTGTGGGTGGGTGTGTGGATGGGTGGGGTGGGTGGGGGGGTGTGGGTGGGGGGGTGGTGGGTGGTGTGGATGGGTGGGTGGGTGGGGGGTGGGTGGGTGTGGATGGGTGGGGGGTGTGGGGGGGGTGTGGGTGGGTGGGTGGGTGGGTGTGGATGGGTGGGTGGGTGGGTGGGTGGGTGGGTGGGTGGGTGGGTGGGTGGGTGGGTGGGTGAGTGGGTGGGTGGGTGGGTGGGTGGGTGGGTGGGTGGGTGGGTGGGTGGGTGGGTGGGTGGGAAAAACGCTCAGAGAATTAGCCACCAAGAATGCATCTACTGGGACACGTTGGAACTCTGGCCGCTGAGAGCCTTACTTACCGAAAAACCAATGAGAAGTTTGGGGAGTGATTTTAATGGGCAGAAGTGCTCTCTGTGTGCGCCTACCACCAGCAAATTGGCTTGAGTCGGGTAGCAATCGGTGGTGCCTTCAAAAGGGGTCCTCAATTTGGGTTCTTCATTTTGATAGTCTGACATGTGTTAAAAGCAGTTGAACCCGCGTTTGAGCGCATGTTGGAAGGAAATCAGCATGTTGCCGAGGATCTCTGGCCCCATGTTTGCTTTCCTTGAGCCCAGTTTTCCCAATCCTTGCGATGGCGATGCTCCGAAACCGCTGGGGTTCCTTCGGATCCCAGGCGGCCCGTTTGCGACACCACTCGGAGGTTCCTTCCAAGGAGGCCTGGGCCGAAGGGCCAATTTCCCATGAGTATTGTCTTTTGCAATGTCTGCTTGGGGTCCGGGAATGGGTGCCTCGCACGCGCTTCTAGAAATTTGCGCTGCCACAATGTCCAACTCAAGTTCTCTCCCCCCCTTGAGCAACGGGAAAAAAAAAACTCGCTTCCGCTGGAAAAATGGGTGTGCCCCCATGTCTCCAAACAGTGGACCATCAGAGAAAAGTTTCAGTGACTCACCTGTCGCTTTTGCTGAAACAATCTGAAGGATGCTAAGGGTTCTCCCCTCGAGACAAATCCACTTTTCTGCACAATCAGAGACATCAGGACTCTCCACCCCACCAAGCTTCGAAAAAGTTCTAACAACCTTCTGAGAACCATTCTAACAACCCCGCTTCTGGATGCGGGGTCTCCCCTGCGGCCTCGGTTTTTGACGACATCAGGTCCCGGTGCTGGCGGCGCTGCCTATTTGGTTGGGCCGGGAACTCGCTTGGGGGCTTGCTTGGCCCAGGGCGTTGCCTTACCCAGCCTCACTTCCGTGGGGAGCGAATTTGTTCGCGAAGCATTCGTTGAATCCTGGCTGCATTTTGAGGGAGGGTTTCACCTTAAGGACAAAAGACCTCACCGGCTCGAGGGGCAAAAGACCTCGACGGGTTGTCGCCGCAGTGGGGTTTCTGCGAGGCACGTCCAGCCTGCCGCCGGTGCAGCTCCAGAGTATCCAGGCGGTAGCGCCCTGGCGAGCGGGCAAGGTTCGGGGCGGGTTGAGATGGTTATGAGCCTACCTTGGTCATCGTCGAATTGGGGTGAGGGCAAGGGCTGGGAAAAAGGGCCGCCCCTGTGTGGTGTTTGGGTCACCTGCAAAGAAGTGCGCGTGTTTGGGAGCGTTCGCTCAGGTTTCAGAATCATTGAAATCGCTACGCGATCCGCCGACGCCAGTGGACAGTCCCCTATTAATAAGCTGGGGCTGATGTCAACGCCCTCTAACGTCCGCTGCAGGGTGCCTTGAATTTGGGGAAAAATGCTGTTTTTTGCCTAGGTCAAGTGGGGCTCTTAGCGCGTGGAAGGAGAATGCAAACAACGCCCCTCTGACGTCGGCTGCAGGGTGCCTTGAATCTGGGGTCGGGAACAAGTCGTCTTTTTGCTTAGGTCACATCGGGCTCTGAACGTGTTGAGGGAGAACAAACAACGCCCTCTGACGTCGGCTGCAGAGCGCCTTGAATTCAGGGTAAGGAAAAAGACGTTTTTGCTTAGGTCAAATGGGGCTCTTAACGCGTGGAAGGAGAACGCGACGGGGCAGGGAAAAAGACGCTTTTTTGCCAAGTGAAAAGAGAGCAAACGACGCCCCTCTGACGCCGGCTGCAGGGTACCTCTGGGGTCAGGAGAAAGACGTCTTATTGCCTAGGTCACATGGGTCTCGTAACGCCTGGAAGGAGAACAAGCAACGCTTCTCTGGAAGGAGGATAAGGAAAAAGACGTTTTCTTTTTTTTTTGCCTAGGTCACATGGGGCTCTTAACGCGTGGAAGGAGAGGGTGGCTCGAATTTGGGGTAAGGAAAAAGATGTTTTTTGCCTTGGTGATATGGGGCGCTTAACAAGAATACAAACAACGCCGCTCTGACTTCGGCCGCAGGGCTGAATACGTGACAGGAGAAACCACCCCCCAAAAGGGTACAAAAGCAAGGCCCCATTTTTTGGTAAGTACAACAAGGCCTTCTTGGCACGTTCCTGTTTTTCATGTCCCAGATGCTGAGGATGCTGGAAATGCAGGGGATGCAACCACACAACTTACAGGAACAGACCCAATCTTCGCGCTCAAGATTTCAAGACTTTCAAACACGCAACGTTGACCAAACACAGAAAATACTAGGGCTGTGGGGAACGCTGGGAATGCAGCCGGCTAGCCACAAAAAAGTGCAAAAAACCAGGGTTCCTTGATATTTCTGAAAAGCAACCATCGGTTGGCCCGAAAGCATCACAGCCCGGCGATCATTCCCGCGCACGTTTTTTGCTCGATGTGGTCACGAGCAACACACAGCAACTAACCTTGTTCCTGGTTCCTGCTATCTTGCCACCTATCGGACCCCCCTCACACAAGTTTGCCAAGCATGTCAAAGATGACACATATACCGCCCTCGAGCTCTGTGCAATGACTCTCATGATGATTCTGTGCAATGACTCTCACGATGACTCTGTGCAATGACCCTCGTGATGACTCCGTTCAATGACTCTTGTTTGATGACTCTATTCAATGGCTGTCATGATGACTCTGCGCAATGACTCTCATGATGATTCGGTGCAATGACTCTCACGATGACTCTGCGCAACGACTCTCGTGATGACTCCGTTGAATGACTCGTGTGTGATGACTCTATGCAACGGCTGTCATGATGACTCTGTGCAATGACTCTGGTGTGATGACTCTATGCAATGGCTGTGATGACTCTGTGCAATGACTCTGATGATTCTGTGCAAGGACTCTCATGATGATTCTGGGCAATGACTTTTATGATCACTCTCGTGATGACTCCGTTCAATGACTCTTGGCGACGGCCCTATGCAATGGCTGTCATGATGACTCTGTGGAATGACTCTCATGATGATTTTTCTCGCAACGGAACACCTGACTTTTGGTCTGCCCAAGTTGCCCTGCGCTAGCTGTTACGTGCAAGTGCTCTGTGCAATTTGCTTTGCGCAGGTTGCTCTGCGCAAGCGGCAGCGCTCTGTGAAAGTTGCTCTGCGCAAGTGCTGCCGGAGCTTTCGGGAAGTACTTCGCATACTAGTTTTCTGATTGAAAAGTTCCATTATGCAGCCGGAGCTGCAGGACTGTGCTCCGCGTACTGCAGTTGTACTTAAGAGTTGCGATTTTCCAGCCGGCGCTGCGCGACCGCGCGACTCCGAGAGCAGGCGCGCAGACCACGCGACAACTTCCAAAGACCAGTTCGCAAGCAACACATTCGCACGCCGCAGCGAGAGCGCTTCGACATGCACGATCCTCGCAGAGGGTCGCGCGAGCATATTCAGAATCGAAAAACTGCACATCGACTCCACCGCAGAAATCGGAAAAAATCCACAGTTTTTTGACCTCGACCACACGAATCTCCGCAGAAGGTCGCTCGCACAGATCAGAAATCGTAAAAAGCCCACGGTTTTTTGACCTCGACCGCACGAATCTCCGCAGAGGGTTGGTTTTCGTAGAGTGCTGTCGGCCCTACCCCGCCGCCCTAAGAAGAGAAGAAAGGAGTTTAAAACTCGTCATGAGGGAGAACTCTCATGAGCATTGCTCCTCGCCAGTGACTCTCACGAGCGTTGCTCCTCGCAAGTGACTCTCATGAGCATTGCTCCTTGCCAGTGACTCTCACAAGCATTGCTCCTCGCAAGTGGCTCTCTGCTATGACTCTGTGCAATGACTTTTATGATGATGATGACTATGTGCAATGACTGTGATGATGATGACTCTTTGCAATGATTCTGATGATGATGACTCAGTGCAATGACTCTGATGATGATAAATCTGTGCAATGATGATAACTCTTTGCAATGACTCTCATGATGATGATGACTCTGCGCATTGACTCTGATGATGATAACTCTTTGCAATGACTCTCATGAATCCGTTAGAACCCTTCGCCATGCTTTCGGGAAAACCGATACTAGCAACCCCCTCAAATACCCTAAAAATAGACTTCCAAGTGCAGGTAGGGAATTGCAAAAAACACTCATTTTTGCGAATGTCAACAGTTCCTCAAAGTATCACTGCACTTGGCCCCACCCAAACCCCTAACAGGCCAATTCCAACATCGCTTGAAACAGCAAAACAGACCTAGGCGCAAGGCATATTTTTGGCACGCAAGACTCAAAACACTGAACAGATACAGGTTTTGGACACCTAGCACAGCATGCCCAAGAAATAGCAGTCCCAAAAGCCTTCGGCTTTGATAAGAGATTCTGAAGGAAGACCAAGTTGCGGACTGCCATCTACACGCTTTATTTTACATCTTAAATAAGCGACTGACTTGATTTCAAAACGACTACTGCCCCTAGCCAGCAACATGGCCAGCCTAGCGAGGGTCAACCGCCGCACCTTGCGTCGGATCTGAGGTGCCCGAAGATTGGCACCACGCGAGCTTCTCAGATTTAGGTCCCTTTGCCTTTTGACGGGCGCAAGTGCAGCCAAGGCAAGGTTCGGTGAGTCACTTGGACAGGGCTATGCCACCACCCCTCACTTTGCAACCTGCCAGTAGCCTGAATACAGCCGAGCCAGCCGTGATTTGCTTCCGCATCTCGAACTTTAGGAGGATGCACTGTCCATTGACGAGGCGGAGTCCGACGCCTCGCGTGGAGCTCAGAATTTTGGAGGATGTCTTCGTTGGAGGTTCGTTGGGTAGTTGGTGTTGACCAGTAGCTCGGCTACAAGAGCAATTTGAGGAGTCCTGGTACTAATTCAGAGCACCCCACCAAACACAGCAATGTTGGCCGACGTACAGCTTGCTGGCAGCAGCAGGCTGCAGCCGCATTGGCCATTGCCTGCTTGCCTTGCTCATGCTAGCTGAACAGCCGGCTGCTCTTGACAGCTACCCTGGTATTAGAAATATGCAGTATTCCGCTTTGCACCGGCTTTGTCCAAAACGACTGGTCCAGGAAGAGAACGCGGGTTGGTTGCTTCTTAATCGCTTTTTAGCTTGCTTGGTAGTTCTTGTAGTTGGTGTGTGGAAGGTTTTGGGCTGTCTTTTCAGCCTCGTGAAGATTGGGACACTCTGAAGTCGGCAATACGGGGGGGGGGGGGGGTGAAGAATAACATGAAGGTGCCAAGACCTATCCGCTGAGATTGAGAATGTTGAGGGTTGACGGTTCAGGCAGATCATGAAATGTGCTGCCCAGCCTAAAACAGTTTCCTTGTCTCGCCAACCCTTCTGCTTCAACGGACTTCGGAATTCCGAGCAGTCCCCAACCACCCAATCGTTTCAGAGTCAGCTGGGCACCCACCCAATTTCCGAGCTTAAGCCGCCTCTCAAACCATCTTGAACCAGGAGATGTCCATGCCCACCAATGAACACCGACTGATGGGACGAAACAACCTGACAAGCACCAACCAACCTCATGGAATGACATAGGGTTCAATCAATCCAAACCGGTACGCCATGCAGGTGGACAAGCGCCAACCAATCCTGACAAAGCCTCCCAACTTTCATCAATGGCATCGGATGTCGGAGGTTTGAATAATTTCAGAGTTCTGTTGCTTTAACTTCGTGTGTGTACTGTGTACGTGTGCATGTTCCTGTACGGTACTGTATGTAATATACACATACATACACATTAAGAGTGCACCATCCTCGGATACATGGGTACACACCGTGTGCATTTTGAGACTACATTTACCTCAAACGGTTTCACACATCAGGCGTGCACGAGGTTTGGTCACCAATGTATGGTCCTTTTGGCGGGACATGGGGGGGAGGGGGTGCGCTTTCCCTCTCCCTCCCTCCCTCCCTCTCTCCCTCCCTCCCTCCCTCCCTCCTTCTCTCCCTCTCTCTCTCTCTCTCTCTCTCTCTCTCTCTCTCTCTCTCTCTCTCTCTCTCTCTCTCTCTCTCTCTCTCTCTCTCTCTCTCTCTCTCTCTCTCTCTCTCTCTCTCTCTCTCTCTCTCTCTCTCTCTCTCTCTCTCTCTCTCTTCTCTCTCTCTCTCTCTCTCTCTCTCTCTCTCTCTCTCTTCTCTCTCTCTCTCTCTCTCTTCTCTCTCTCTCTCTCTCTCTCTCTCTCTCTCTCTCTCTCTCTCTCTCTCTCTCTCTCTCTCTCTCTCTCTCTCTCTCTCTCTCTTCTCTCTCTCTCTCTCTCTCTCTCTCTCATCTCTCTCATCTCTCTCATCTCTCTCATCTCTCTCATCTCTCATCTCTCTCATCTCTCTCATCTCTCTCATCTCTCTCATCTCTCTCATCTCTCTCATCTCTCTCATCTCTCTCATCTCTCTCATCTCTCTCATCTCTCTCATCTCTCTCATCTCTCTCATCTCTCTCATCTCTCTCTCATTCTCTCTGTCGGTCTGTTCTTTGTTCTCTCTCTCTCTCTCTCTCTCTCTCTCTCTCTCTCTCCAGTACTTTCCCATGCCCACTAAGGCGTCACAAAGGTGACAGTACATTTTGACTCTGGCTTGCATGAAAGCATGCTCGGCGTTTGACATCACAAATGCATATTATTGACAAACACATGCAAATGCATGTGACATGTACAGGTATGCAATATATATATATATATATATAGGTGCTCCCGAGTCAGGGAACCTTCCCAGATTGTGGACACTTTCCCATGTTTCCCCTGCACCATTTCTCTGGTGGGTTCCATGGCAATGGGAATTTACGCATACCAGGACATGCCACTTTGTAAATCTCCACTTGCATCATGTCCACCGAAGAAAACCTGCCAAGTCTATGAAACTAAATCACCGGAGGGTTTTGGGGCCGTATCCCCGCTGCTTCCAGCAACCCGCCCGAGCCCCGTGGCCGCGAGGTTCTGCAGCACCCACGAGCGCTTCGTGGAGGCGGCGGAGCACCTGGAGCAGGCGCTCCGAGTTTGGCTGACGCGGAGACCCCGGAGACCTCGGAGACGACCTCGGAGACCCCGGAGACCTCGGAGACCTCGGAGACCCCGGAGACCCCGGAGACCCCGGAGACCCGGAGACCCCGGAGACCCCCCGCCCCCCCCGGTTTGCATGTTTTTTGAAGCTCAGGGGTGTTACAGGGAGCAGAAAAGGGTGGGGTTGAGGATGTTGCTTCATATTAGAACATTTGGGAGAGGTACTTCGATGAATCATTTTCCCGTATCGCCTGATCTGATATGCCACAATAGAAGTTGGGCCCGTTTGAAGGGAACTTATCGTGGTCACGAAGAGTTTCATTGGCTGGATCAGCCTCGAAAGCCGTTGGTTGCACAAAAACATACCCGAAAGTCGTTTTGTTTGAACAGTTACTAGCTGTTATCAGTTTGGATTCCTCATGTTGGACTCTCCGCCAAGCAAAAGAGTGAGGTAGAAACTGGTTCCGTTGCCTCCTTTTTTGAATTCGCACCTTTCAAACTGACATTCTCTGGGCCTGGTGTTTGTTTTGGATTCCCGCCTGGGGCCGGAAACAAGGCTTTTTCGAGGGCCTTGTTTCCAGCCCCAGACTTGAATGCAAAAAGCACACGGGGGGGCCCAAGAATGCGATTTCAAAGTGGAGTTCAAAAAAGAAAAGCACCGGGCCAGAAGCAGGTGCTGCGTTTGGGTGAAGAGCTTGAGGTTCTGTCAGATTCTGAGGCGCCTGGCTTTTCTGGCTAAACATAAATTTTGATTTGGATTTTTAGAGAGTCTGGCCTTTTGGCAGTGCGGTTTTTGTGGGTGGCATGCGGGGCGGAAACCTCCTGTTTGGTCAGCAAAGACTTGCTTTCTTCCCACCTGGCACCCAACGGTTTTCTTTTTTGTCCGTCAGCATTTTGACCGAAGAAAGACTGACGTTCGGGCTTTGTGGGGCAGGGGGGAATACGCCAGATACGAAATTGGAACGAACAGAAAGAATAGTCATATGTCATCTCATCATGGATCAGGAAACTGTAAACTCATTCTTCAGGTGTTTTTTTTAGCATATTTGGGCCGACAATGGCGACCTGCTGGGTTTCCACCATGCCTTGCCTTGAGAGCGGGGTCCTTGGGTTCAGCTTTTTCCCTGCCGTGGCCAGGCCATCAGCATCCGGCAGCAGCTGCTCGGGGACGAGCACCAGGAGCGATGGCAAGACCTGGAGCTCCTTTGAATTTGGTCTATTACAGTATTCAACTGTCTTTTGGCTACTGCCCAAAAGCAAGAGGCCAATGCCTGCGTTAAAGAACTGGACCCAGGCGTGCTGATGTTTATGACCATGCTGTGCGAGCGTTGCTGAGCCTCTGAAAGAGGCCATGCTCTGTCAGGAGTTTCTCACGTCCATCGAGCATTATGTGGCGGCACTCGGAGGGTAGTTTGGCGGCCAGGAGAGCAACGCCATGCACATGTGATCCCAAGATGCGTAGATCCCAGTTCCTTTGTTGGTTCAAGTGCACCCGTGTGTCAGCTTCAGTTGCTTCTAATAATCCTAACTGTGGTCTGATCACTTAGCTCCAACTCGAACGCTCGCGCCTCAGGGCGGGCAACTCATCAATTCGGCCAGCGGAGTTCAGTTCGTGCATCAAGATGGGTGTGCCCACTTTGAGTGCAGGCAATTTGCGAACTCTTGAACGTCATCAGTCGATCGTATTCCTGCAGTTGGCCCGCCTACCTGTTGGCTTTGTCATTCGTGTTTGCAAGAATTGGATCCGCATGGTTGGAAACGGAGCCGAAGCAGAGATCTGCGTTTCTCAGCTGAAGAACTCTCAGCCACAGGCTCGAAAGTTCGGTTTGTCCGCACCCAAGCCATGGCTAGCAAGGCTCCAGCCTGGAGCCCCAGTGGTACTCGCTTCCGGTTTGCAGCCGGATTCCAGGGTTTCCAGGTGGTTCGGATGGCTATGTGTGTAGCATCCGAAAGGAACCCATCAGAACACATTCAATGGGCCCGATTTGCTGTGCGGCCTCAGGATGTCGAGCAGGAGGCTGAGCGTGCTGTGCTCCGTTTGAAGGCTCTGAATCTTGAGCCCCCAAGCATCGCTTTGCTGAAACGCGTCACTGCGATGCGGAAAGTCCAAGCAGCAAAGGCGGGGCGAGCGCGAACAGCGCGGTCCTCCTTGTGGGGGGAAGGTGACCCAGAACACATCCAAACCAAACAACCAATTCGGGGCATGAGGAAGGGGTTTTTTGCTTCCGGCCGTTTAAAGAACAAACTGCTAGTTTGAGAAGTAACATAACTCCGCAAAGACATGTTCATCCAAGTTGTTTGGTTGTGTGGGCAAGAGACATGTGTGGGCGGGGGCACATGTTCGTTATGAAAGGGCCACGGATAGGCCAAGGCTGCCCATGGAACTTGCGACTTGCGGAGGCCTGCCTGCTTGCTCCGGCATCTGAGCCTGGCAACCGACCGGAATGTCAGGCCTGGGCCCCCAGTGGCTGGAAAAGCGCACGGCTGAATGCAGGGGACAAGGCACTCAGCCTTTGGCCAATCAAGTAAGCGCGGCTGCCTTCCTTAAACGAGCTGAGTTTCCATATAATTCATGTATTCTACGACTTATTAGCCCCACCCGGCTGACTAGGACTTGCACGATCTTTCCGCTCTGCCAACGCTCGCCGGCCTGTGCTGAGGAAGGGGCAGTCGAAGGTGAGAGATACACCATCCCGCCGCAGAACTGAGAAGCGTGGGTTCTCTCACACATGGTCACGACTCCCAACAGATATTCTCTTCAAATCCCTCGGGTATTCCATTTCATAGGGGATGGGTCCCATGTGAATGGTGTATTTCTTGAGAAGTAAAGGGCGAGGATGTTTGAGTCCAGACCATGCTGGGCTTTCAAAATTCAAATCAGCAGGAAAGAGAAGGCCTTCCTGCGTTTACATCACTTGACTCATTTGGCGATGAATCTTCATGAGGACTGCGCTCTAAAAAATCGCTGGTGGACATAAAACAGTATGTACATGATGTCCACCAACCGGTCCCCAATTGAAGTTCATACCCATTTGTCAAGCCTGCGAACTCTGCCTGATGAATGTCTGAATGTTTGAATTGGTCCACTCTTGCGAGACTATGCGTCTATCAATGCCAGCGTCAGCTGTACGTAGATCGCGAATGCCAATGGCATTCGTTCGCTCCTATTTTGATGCCTCTAACGATTGCGATCAGCAAGTCGGAGGTATTTAACCTACATCCGAGGATTGCACTCTTGCCCAGCGGACGTTGAACACTTTGGTCGATGAGGTTCTTTGTGCCGTCCTCGTTTTCCAGATGGATCTGTGCGAATTGCCCGGCTCTGATGAGCGTGAAGCTGGGTTCCAAAAGGAAGTGGCCGTCGAGCCAGGGGGCCCGTTTTCTCCGCCAGTCAACGCGGAGTCGTCTCCTGGCAGTGCTCGAAGAACAGCTCGGTGGCACGGGGTGGGACTCTTTACCGATTTGGCTGTGGTTGTCAAAACCGTTATGGGATCCCATTTTGGGTAGGTGAATTCACCACCCATTTTAGAACCAATGTTAGTGGGGATTGGGATGTTGACTGGGGGTACGGGATTTTGACTTATGGCCATTTTGTCGAATGATTTCGCGTCCAAAAAGTCCCATCCTGAGCCAGCTGAGAGGACTGAGAACCCAGTGGCTCTGGCATAGAGTGGGAGTCAGGGCAGTTTCCGACGCAGCGGAGAAAAGAGATAGAGGTGAGGGACCTGAGTTGCAAGCTCTGAGTGTTGACACCAACCCATATAGACCTTTGTATCTTTGTTGCACTCGCGCTCGTGTCGAGGTGGTGTGCTGCAACAACTGGGCGCTGAGGAGTTTGGGAGGTGCGGATAGAAGTTGGTCTCCAAGGGCACCCGTGCATTCGCGGTCCGGAGAAACCGAGGTCCGAGCTTTCGGCTGACATGGAAGGGGAGTAACAGCCTCCAGCCCCGTCCCTTGGGTTTTTGGGGCCCCTGTCGCTTGGGATGGGGTTGACGGGTCAGACCCTTCGGGGTCTGAGGTCAGACCCTCGGGAGTTTTAGACGCTTCTCCATGCGCCCCGGTTCTCCGCTGGCAGCTAGCAGATGCAACTCGATCCTGGCATTTCGGGCCACTGGGTGTGCCCCAAAAACGGATCAGGGCCTAAAAGATGCCACCCCCAGTGAACATCCCGATCCCCACTAACATTGGTTCTAAAATGGGTGGTGAATTCACCTACCCCAAAATGGGTTTCCTTTGCGCTCCATTTGCATGCCAGGCGACTTCACGTCGGCTTTGGAGCTGTTGAAGAAGGCAGAGGCAGGGGTCAGCGAGGAAGTGGCAGGTGGCTGTGGTTGTCAAAACCAATGGGATCCCATTTTGGGGGGGGTGCACCACCCATTTTAGATCCTATTTTAGTGGGGATTGGGATGTTCACCGGGCCCCCGCCAAAGCCGATAACCTCAAGATCTCTGCTAAGGCCAAGCAAGAGGTTTCGGCAGTCCCTCTATGGATGTGTCTTTTTGGGAGGATACCTCTTTTTAGGTTTGTTTAAAAACACGAGAACCACCACAATCTTCGGGGCACACCTATCTTGTTTGACACATATACCCATATCTATACATTATAACGTATACAGAGACGTACATGGTACATATTGGCTTGATTGTCTCTCATGGAATGGGCATTGCCGCGGGGCAACATGGGCGGGCCAGAAACGTGGTGTGCCATTGGCTACGTATGTTTTTTATGTTGCTGGTCAACAATCCAGAAAAGAGGGGCAGGCTTTTCCATAACATGTTGTACATGTTGCACGGCAAGAGGAAAAGGCCTTTTTGTTCTAAGTTTCGGTTGCCTTTTGCGGCTTAACAACCCAGGGACTGCCAACAAGCGCGCTGCAGGCGATGACGGAGGCCGACAACGTGCCCAACTACCCCCGGCGGCTGGTGTTGCGGGCGGTGACCTTCTCAAACCTTTGCAGCACCTTGCCGCGAGTTTGACTTTGGAGGCGTTATATGATTATATGCTCCTTGCAACGTCCAGTTCTTGCAAGTTTGGTGCCCTTCCTTGGGCGTATCGTAATCGGCAGGATTTGGGGCACGGGCTGTCTAGCGGAGTTTTGCTTGTAGGAGATGGCTTTCGGGACAAACCAGGTGGCGCTGTATAAAGGGACATGCCACAGCAAACTGCACGGATCGACAAGCGCCATTCCAGATGCGCTGGTTGAAGGCTTTTTGGTTGAGTCCCTTTTGGTACTTTGCCATGGCACAATCCCACCAAACATGCCTAGCTGTTTTGTGTTGCACTTTTCGGCGTCTGGCATCTGGCGATGTGAGGCTACTACCGCAGCCGGGGCAAGCAGAATGCTGCGCTGCAGCCCCGAGCCAAGCTTCGCTGTCGACACATCGAACGGCGGGCTTTGCGGGCTCGAGAGCGTGACGCAAAGCATCTAAACCGCGGATCTCCAAGGCAACTCGTTGCTTCAGGATGAATTGCACTGGAAGGTTGACAGATGAGTGGCCTGATGAGTTCTTGCTCAAGACGCCTTTTCCACAGGCAAACGCCTGCAAGATCCCTTGGGGCCAGAACTTCAGCTCTTTCAAGGTGAATCTCTTTGAGGGCCAGGCCCAAAGAGGCGTAAGCTGTGGTCGATCTTTTTCCCAGCTGAAAAGAATGGCGGTCACTGCCAGACTTTCTCATGTTCGATGTACAGAAGCTGCAAAAGCGCAAGGACATTCGAGAACTAGTTGGCTGTGGGTCAAGAATAAGTACCCAAAATGGAACCCTGGTAGATGGACACATGGACTAAAACCTGCGGTCCCCTGGTGGTGGCTTAATTTTGATTCATCAGTTGATCTTGCAAGTACAAACACATGGCAATGCCTTGAAGGGCCGTGGGGGCCGTGGGCAGGGTGATTGTTTCTTGAAGGTTCACTTCACTGATGTCAATCAGTCCCAACTGAATTTGACCCGCAGCGCCTCGAGCAGGGTTGTGAGACAAGGGTTCCCCAACCAGCTCATGTTGCAGAACCAGCTTTCGCGGCAATGATTCTGGCATGAATGTTTGGCGGATAGAGCCTCGATTTGATTGGGGCATTGTGCCAAAACAGCAGCTCAAGAGGAATCAACAACCTCCATTAGTTGCAAACGGCACCAACAGGTCCTCACATTCAAATCTGATGCTCCAAAGGAGCACTGCGGGCCAGGTGCCGCGGGTTTCGGGCCGCTGATCATGGGCGCATTTCTCCCAGGTTCGCGGAGAGGTGCCTCAAGATCCAGCGGCAGTACCGGGAGGCCGACAGCCCAGCCCGAGTCCCGAGGGGGCCCGTCTGGCGTCGGCCTGGGAGCGGGGGTCATTCGGATCTTTTTGTCTGAGTGGCTGGTGCAGTTAAGCGGCTTGTTGTAGGAAGGGCTCAGATTTGCAAAGCTTGGTCATCATCCAGGAGCTCATAGAATCCCTCTGCGTGGCTGGGGGGGGAGGCTCCTCAAAGCGTCATAACACTTTCCTTTGGCAGCAGAGCGTTTTGGCAGCAGTTGCCACTGGCAGCAGAGATTCTTGGCTTACCTTTGCAGTTCCCCTAGTTCGAATTTCATTCTGCTGCCCGCGGTATCTGCGGGCAGCGGCGGGAATACCGTTCTCCTTCTCCGAGGCCAGGAGCCACCTGAACTACGCCGTGCTTCTGAGCTCCCAAGGCGCGAACTGCGACGTCTCCGCATCCGGACTGCGGATGGGTCTGCATGTATCCATGGAACCCATGAGTCTAGCGAGGAATTGGGCAGGTTCCGTGTTAGTTGAGGGAGGAGGAGTTATGTCCAAACATTTGAGGGGGTCTCCTTGTTTAATCTAGCCATGTGGCATCGGGGTAGCGCCCAACACATCAGCTCCGGTTGCACGCCTCCAGATTTCGAGTGGAGTGTGGCTTTGTTTTCCATTGTCTCTGTCTGTTTTACGGGGGCGCGGGAGGAAGCTACAGCACCCGTTTGGAAGGCCGACACACCGAAGCGCTGGAGAACATCGACAGGGCCGGCGGGCCAAGTTCCGTGCTCGAGTCGCGACTCCTGGGCAGTCCGGCACCTGCGACAAGAGCCTAGGAAGCACTTTCAGCTGCCAATCCGATGGTCACATGTGCAATGTTTTGTGAACGGACATCAGTTTCCTGAGAGAGGGAGAGAGAGGGCTCCTGAGATCTTGAGCTCAATGGGCCTTTGTCTTGATTTTTCGTGGATTTCTTCCACTCCGATGGGTTTGGCCAGTATCGTCGAAGTGTGTGGGGCTTAGTCTCGCACAAGGCCTTGGCCATCCTCCACGACTTGGAGAGGGATGCTATTGCCGGGCACCCCGAAACTCGGGGACCGAACCCGGGATCCAAGGCCAAGGTCCCAAGTGCCTGGCAGTTTCATGAATCATGAAGACGGGGGTGGGGGTGTCTTTTAAAGGAAGGGACCTTTTGTCGGATGGTGGAAAGGTTGTTCCGACTGTAAGTGGCGGGGGCAGGTCTGCGGGAGGTTTCCTTTTCGTTTGGGCAAGCTTGTGGTTCTCTTACCTGCCAGAGACGCCACGTGTGCGATGGCAAACATGGACTCCTGACAGGTTGCTGAGGAAGGCAGCAAAGAATTGGTGCTTGGGGGCGTACAGGTTTTTCCAAGGGATCCAAAACTATGTACGCAAGAAGTTTGCACTACAGCGAACGGTTGAACCACTACCATCCTTTTGTGTTGTCATGGGTTGTCTCTTGAACATGGGCCAAGGAAAGGGTTGTCTGGTTGCTCAAATGCCACCAGCTGAGCAACCATGCTTGACACTTTGTCTGGGTGAACGATCGATGCGGCACGATTCCGAGCCAAGGCGACGGAGGACACGGCTCAGATGCTTGTAGTACTGTGCTCAGATCACACTCTCATGTCGCTGCAGTGGGCGTGGTCTGGCACGCTGAAGCGCGCGGTCTCAAGGCTTTTTGTTTTGCTAGTTTGGCGCTGCCAGGTTTCTCACTACAACATGTTTGTGGAGCATCTCCGCTTGAAGCAGAGTGAAACTAGCCGGAGCCCAAGAGATCAAGGCCAGCTTCGGCGAGCGCCTGGAAGGCCATGATACAAGCTGAGGAGCTGCTTGACACACCAGACGGCTCATGGTCCCCAATCTCAAGACATGATTGGGCAAGCCTCTTGTGACCTGCATGGCTCAACGCTTGCTGGATGCTCGCAGTTTGTTGAACCATCACAGCGCGTTGGCAAGCAGATTACACTTGTTGACTCGGAAGAGGGCGGTAGCAGTGCCTTTTGCTCTTGATGCGGTTGTTCTTTCTGGTGGGAAGGAATTGGCTACTTGTTCTGCGCAAGGGGAGATCCCACACACAATACAAGGCACTCTAGTGGCCGTGCATACGATGTGTTGGGAGCATTTGCTATGAACCCATCACAGGGGTTGTTTGAATGAACCTCGTGTTAATCAGCACGGCCATCGCCCTGCCGAAGATGCATTCCTGTTGCCATGCGCGAAACTTTGCTGGTTGGATTGATTCCAACCAGTCAAGAGTGAGGTTTCCTCTTTCAATCCGAATTTGACAGTCATAGGCAATTTCTAGTGACCTCCAAAAGATAGAAGGGGTTTGCGACCTCACTTTGAGGTGTTTGATTTGTCTCCCAGAAAGTTGCGCCAAATTTGCCACGTAGGCCTGCAAAGCCTTCAGCGCGCTGTCATGGTGGCAGTGCAGAAGCTGGGGGAGTTGGGGGGCCTAACACAGGTGTGGTCTCCGACACTTGGGTTCCATGCGGGATGGCCTTTGTCGTTTGCTTCGGGCGATCTTTCGTTTTAAGCAGACCTCATCTAGAGTTGCTACTCTGGTTGCTTGACATGTTTTCCGCGCATGATTTCGCTGAAGCACGGCTAACGTGTTGTTTGCGCCGGATGGTGTTTTGCTTGCGCGTGCAGAGATGCAGGGGGGAGAGGCACTTTCAGCGGTAGATTTGTAGACCTTCCGGCGCTCAGTTTTTCGTTCTGACACCATCATTGTTGGTTTACGGAGGGTATGGGGGGGACAACTCAAATTTGTCAAGAAGCAGGGGGACAGCCCAATTCTCCCATGTGCTCGGTTAAACAGGCAATTTTGTCTGGGACCAGCTGAGGAAGCATGTGGTGGAAATCCATGGCTTTGTTTCCCTTTGCCACTTTGATACTCACGGCGCCTGGTATCTGCGGGTGGAGAGTCGACTGGGCAAAAGCTACGCATGTCGCCGTGGTCGAACCCCGAACCTTTGGGGTTGCTAGGGATGGTCATTTCCCGAGAACTAGCATTTTGCCGCGCACGCGCAAAAGGCTGTTGCCTCCGGAGCCTTGGGCCCAGGTCCCATGTGCTCACGCAGAAGATGCGCGAGGTGCAGTGCGATGCCCAGGAGAGACAGGAGCAGAAGGCGAGGGACGGATGATGAAACCAAATCGCACCGCTTACCCATGCCACCCCCTGCCACCCCTCAAACAGATATCAAACATCAGGGTGGGGGGTGGGGGCTGGGCGGGATCACCTCGCAAACTTTCAATCCTCAAGGAGGTTTGTTCTTTGCTACAAGCCAACACCTACCAAAGATAGAAAGTGGAGGGAGGGTTTATGCCACTATGCATTTTAATCGTGGGAACATCGTCCGAAATGGTTGTGAAAGGACATCGACCCCCCCGTGTGTGTGTGTGTGATGCCTGCCAAAGGACCCCCAATCAAGAAGCCACAACTCACTGAATGCATCTGTTTTTTTCCTTTGCGCTTGAGAGTTTCTCCATGAAACGGGGCAAGAAACGTCGTGGTTCTCATTCGTTTTGCGGGGTGTTCCCTTTGGGTGAGACCTCTGGTGCATCCGGCAGGCGAGCTCACAGCGGTTCCGCACACAGACGGCGCTGGAGCTGGCGCCGCTGTTCCATTACCAGGACGGGGTGGGGGTGGGGTGGGGGGTGGGGGGGGAGCTTGGGATGGACTGGGGCAAAAAGGGTTTGGTTTGGTTGGGGTTGGGTGGGTGGGGAAGTGGGTGGGTGTTGGAAGGGCTTCAACAGCCAAAGGGGGCGCCGCCTGAGGATGACAAGGCGCATCCATGGCAGAAGGTGAACCTGGACGATGCGGACTCCGAGCGCGCCTGGGCACCCCAGTCCCTGCGGGTTTCTTTTGGGTGGGCTTTGAACATGACTTGCCTTTTAGTGGGGTGCTGTTTGAGGACGACATGTGAGGAGGCCCGGAAAAGGTGGGGAGGGGTTGCTCCATATTTTCGTTCCACGCACCAGGTCCCGATCTATGAATTCTCGCCCTGCCCCAGGTTCCCCACCGGCTCAAAACCTCCTGAGGCGCAGGAGATCCTCTCGCACACCAGGCAGATCACGCTCCGGCGCCGGAGGCGGGGCGGTGTACCCCCGCTACTGAATGACATGCTTCTTCTTGAAGATGCCTTTTTGGAGCCATAGGCACAGTAGTCAGTGCATCTCCCGCCGGAGCGATACACCACGCCCTCTGCAGG